AGTCTTGGCCCCTGGCTCACATTGTACTTTCGTAAAGTCTTGCCCAGCGTATTTCCCATCTGAGTAAGAGGTAGTTGAATCATATGCTGAAGCTAATACGTTCGGACTCCGTTTATACATGATATTGTGAGTGCTCAGTCCGGACACCGTCTTCGCTCCGCAGCGCTGTGTGCTCGCTCCCACTGTGCTTCTTCATGCCACGACCACGGGCATTAAACGAATCTGCCTAAAAAAGTGAATTTCCAAAGCCATGAAAGATTAGTTGTTTCAGATGAAAGCACGGAAACGCCTGCCCGGTAGCTTTTTATTGAATAGCCGATGCTCAGGTGAAGAACAGACCCCGTCCCGGTAACGTTTTACAGTACGCCTTGTATTTCAACCCTTCTTCGAGTTGGCATTTCTCAAAACTCGTTCTACAAAACTCTTGAGGTTTCCAGAAAAAGTTACCGAGTTGGTCAGTGACCAGAAGCAAGCGATTGTTGTCGAAATACTCAGGAAAACAGGCTACGTGTTGCGCACATGGTGCTCAACCCGGAAACAGTGCCTCAGCCGAAGGTGTAGCCCAGCTACTGCAAGTCTTGGCCCCTGGCTCACATTGTACTTTCGTAAAGTCTTGCCCAGCGTATTTCCCATCTGAGTAAGAGGTAGTTGAATCATATGCTGAAGCTAATACGTTCGGACTCCGTTTATACATGATATTGTGAGTGCTCAGTCCGGACACCGTCTTCGCTCCGCAGCGCTGTGTGCTCGCTCCCACTGTGCTTCTTCATGCCACGACCACGGGCATTAAACGAATCTGCCTAAAAAAGTGAATTTCCAAAGCCATGAAAGATTAGTTGTTTCAGATGAAAGCATTGTTATAAGTTGCTCAGATGTGTTGCTCTGTACGCGAGCACTTTTGGGCGTGCGCATTTAGTCTCATAGCTAATCTTCCTCGGTGGTTGCTTTGAGTACTTCAGCAGTCTTTGCGCACTAGAGGAGAGGTATCTGTAGCCATCTTGGCTCAAGGCTCAAGTTATCTTGTTGAGTTCCCACAATCTCCTAACAAATGGTACCCGATGCAGGATTCGCCGATATAGTTGCGGGCGTGGTGCCAACCCGTCTACCGGCTGTTGACGTCAGTGCAGAGATCCAAAGCATTAATTTGGAATGTACTACCTCGAGCGAATTTATGAGAGAGATCTCAAGATTGAGAGGAAAGTATCAACGATGGGTTTCCGGGAGAGAGGAATTTCATGAAGGAGGACCGGATCGTGACATTGACGTCGCTAAGATCGTTTATGGATCGCTGCTTGATGCTGCGTCCCTTGAGGGCATTGATGAAGTCTGGTTTGAGTATCTAGCTCGATATCTTTCCAAGCAATGTGCAGCAATGCATCGTTTAGAAAGGAGCTGGTATGAAGGCCGTTCTGATGATTTGAAGAGGGCGATTGATGGGTTCATAGAGAATAGAGAGAAGCTATGTGGGGGGACTCGTGCGAAGAAAGAGAATACTGATGTCGCCATATCGTGGCTTAAATTGGACGTTGTAGAAGCAGCTCCCTGGAGTTTCCCAACTGATAGCTGTCCTTATCGATTAATAAGAGAGCGTATCCAGAATGCCATTGAAATTTATGGCCTGAGAGGGAAAGCAGAGGTTTATTATATTATGAGGAACTTTGCGGGTGCGTTAAAATCAGAGTTAGAGATGATGATCCGCACGGGGTTACAGCGAGATCATCAGACACCCGAATTCGTAGTACAGCATCTTTGGGAATATCTCGATAAGAGGTTTAAAAATTCATTGACGATTTCGGAGATGGTACAGAGATGGGAATCGTTGAAGCAGCAGGATGCGGAGCGAGTTGAAAGTTTCTTCTCTCGTGTGGAGATGGAAAGTGTGTTAGTAGTGGCGATGACTGGGAGGGCCCATAGTGATTTAGATAAATGTATCCGTGCCAGAGCCGGCATGCATACTCGAATATTAGATTCATTGGAGAGTCTGGGGCCCGACGTTGAGTCATTATCTTTCGAGGAGTTGCGACGTAGTGCCATTTATTTCGAGAGCAGACAAATGCGTAGAATGGCTGGGAAGGAGAAGCGAAAGGACCCAATTATCTCGAAGCAGGGAGTATCGTCTGTTCCACAAGGAGAAAATTCTAAGAGCAGTTCGAATCCAGCGCGATTTAATGGTATTTGCAGTCGATGTCAACAACCGGGTCATACGTGGAAGTTTTGTCAAGCGGCACGGCCAGCTGGTATGAACCGTCGTTGCGGCATTTGTGGCTTGGGGCATCTTACGAAGGATTGCCGATTAGGCACCAAAGCTGCAACATGTAAACGCTGCGGCAAGAGTGGGCATCTCCAGTACGTCTGCCCGAATCCTCTTCCATCAGGCCAGGTTACACGAGTGATGGGGAAGGCAGTGGAGAGTAATGGTTCATCATCGAAGCACTCAACTCCAGCTTTTCTCGTGGAAATCGGTTGCCAAGATAAGGCGTCCACTCCGGTTACTAGTGCTGAACCCCAGCCAGGAATCGACGGTGCAGTCTGTTCTGTAACTCCCTTTTGTGCTGCGGACCTTGGTTGTGTTGATCGAAAAATGTCGGGAACTCCTGAGAAACTAGTGATAGAAAGGGATGCATTGTCTCTTTCACTGTTATCTAATCCCGACACGGTTCGAATTTCGATTGCAGGTGAGTACTATGAAGCCCTTGTGGATACAGGGGCAGCGGTAGCGATGGTCCGAGCCTCAGAAGCAGATGGACTATCGATTAAATGCCCTGAAGATGTGAAAATAGTGACCGTCAAGCCTATAGTTGTGACCTGTGCCAATGGTACTGCTCGAATAGTGCGAAGAGAATGTGTTCTCCGCTGTTATGTTGGAGAGTCTCGATCTGAAGTACTGCTACCGTTATTGATGGTGAATGAATTGTCACATCCCGTAATTCTGGGTCGCGCAGCGTTGAGAATTTTGGGAGCGAGATTAATATATACTGACGAGGAAGATACTGCTGTTTCATTGCGTGACCAACTTCGGGAGTTCTTGAGTGGTGATGGAGATTCTTCCGTAAATACGATAGCAGCGGTCGAAATATCTGCAGCTCCTGTGATAGAACTTGCCCAAGTAGAGGCTACGCTCCAGGAAGATGAGTATCGAGTGAATCCACTGGAGCGGGGAGACGCTGCTGGTGAGTTTAATAAACCGTTTAAGGATTTCGCGAAAATAACTTCAAGGGATCCATTTGAGGCCGAAATCAGCAAAGCTTTGGATGGGCTACCGTTGAATGAGAATTTCCTCGACGCAGCATTGCAGAGAATTTATGATCATGGAGTATTTGAAGTGCCCGATGCGCAGTCTTATCAGTTATCCTTGAAAAAATTATGTGAGATTGTTGATCCTAATGGCTACGTGGTTAAGGATACTGATGATCAGCAATACCGTTTTTTGGTTGACTGGCCTCTCAGTTCAACTCGACCAGACCAGCAGCAGAGCAGAGGTAGCTGGCGTCCTGATAGTCTTATCCGTAAGCTTTCTCCGGTGCAGAAGGAGAAGTGGGACGCAGAACTGAAGATGTACTTTGATCGTCAGTGGTGGTGTGAAGCTGGCCTACGTCCAGGTCAAGATCCAAAGGTAGAGTGGGCGACGTGTTTTCCAGTTTGCTCCTTGAGCGACTCGAAAACTACGCCAGTTCGTCCATGCCTCGACTTCAGAGGCTACAACTCGAAGAGTCCAAGATGTTCAAGCCGCCGACGTTCGGTGCAGAGAGCAGTCAGAGAGTTGAGAGCGAAGCTTTACCCACAAGCGATCGTCGAGCAGATGGATGCGAGTAAGGCATTCTATAGAATTGCCGTCAATAAAATATTATATATTGATTGTGGTCGCAGTGACCTCTCCAACTCCCTCAAGGCCACGAATCGTCTTGCCTTCGGCCTTGCTATAGGGCCGAATGCCCTAGAGAGTATTGGCGATATCTTATTTGCTATTCTCAGAGCGAAATTCCCTATGGTGGAAGTCGTACGAGTGATGGACGATTACCTTATAATATCGCCTAACAGCAAAGTCCGATCGATGTGGAATCGGGATATGATTGCCCTCTTCTCTAAAGTTGGATTTGAGCTACCAGAAAGTAAGAGAAGTTTGTGGGGCCATTCTGAAGATCAATTTTGTCGTTGGCTGGGCGCCGACTGGAAATGGGATCCCAAGGGAGTATTATCGGTTCGTAGATTACCGATTGAGAATGGAGAGCTCCAGACAACGAGGAGGGGGATCTTTGCTGTTGCAGGTCGATATCTCGATATCACTCGATCAGCTGGGGAAGCACAGTGTAGAGCTCATTGCGATGTAGCGAGGCAAATTGCTGGTCGGTGTACCGGCAATTGGGATGACGAAATCGACTCCAAAGCTGAGCAGAGTTGTCGAAAACATTTACAAGCAGCTGAAATGATATGGCAGCAACTCAATGGAGCTGTGCCGATTATAAAAGGTGCTAAAAATCTGAGAATTGCTGTCGACGCTTCCAACTCTGGTTATGGAATAGAGATATGGGTTCCAGCTGCTCAACTAGCAAGCTCAGTTGAACTCCATCCCACTGGTTGGGTCTCTGTCTACGCTGAGAGCAAGCTCTTTCCCTACGGTTGTACTTGGCATGCAAACCGGCGCGAGCTCTACGGTATATTGATGGCTTTCATCGCAGTGATTGATCAGATGCAGAGCGAATGGTGGGACTCTCTCAAATCTATTGAAATTTGCAGTGATAGTTTGGTCTCTATTCGCCGTATGCGATCATCATCTCATAAGATCCATGGTATAGAGCAGCTATCGATAGCAAGATTAAGATCATCGATTGATGAAGCAGTTGAGGAGCTCAGATTATTGGGAGTGGGTATAACATTTTCCCATCATTCTCATAACTCTTTTTACATTAATAGAGTAGATATCCTATCTCGTATATCAGAGGATCTCCCGCCATCGAATATTCTCACCAACATTGATTGTGAAGTTGATGAATTCACTTCATATGAGGTTCCCATCATGGCGTCTGATGTCATTGACTTCCATTATCCATACTCTTTGTTGATTCCGACTATTGAAAGTATTCCATTGTTACAAAAGTTCTTGACTCTTTACGAGTCATTTCAAGCTTGGCGAGGTCGTGGTCCGACAGATCTATCGGAGGTTGTTCGAAGGTTCTTGATTAAACAGCAGGATTGCGACCCACAAGCTCGAGAAGCCAAGAAGGTCTTAGAGTCGTCTATGGACCCTAATTCCTTTAAGGCGAGTTTACCCCCTTCTCTCTATCATTACATACGACACTGTATTCTTCTCAACGGTGTCCTTTGCAAGGTAGAGTCTTGGGACGAAGATGAGTCTCTTAAGATCGTTCTACCACGCCCAACGGCATCATCACTACTCGAAGATCTTACTAACTATTATCATCATGTACGCGGTCATGTCGGGGTTGATGCTACTTACCGTCATCTTCGGAAAGTCTTCTGGGCACCAGCACTACGTAAGTCCGTCAAGGGCGTTGTTCGCTCTTGTGCTGCTTGCCTAGTGACCGCTCCTCTAAAAAAACTACGACATGAGAGTCATCTGAAATGTCCTTCGTCGCCATTTGAGGTGATTGGGTGCGATCTGGTAGGACCTTTGGTGCCGGGCGCTATACAAACTGGTGGTAGTAGTGGTGCTCGTTGGATACTCACTGTTACGGATTTGTTAAGTCGTTATTGTCTTCTATTTCCGCTCAGTGATATCTCGACTTCATCTATTTGTAAAGTATTAGAACGTGAAGTATTTCTGGTCTACAGAGCACCGGCTACACTCATCACTGATTTAGGAAGTAATCTTATTTCCTATGCTTTTGATGCCCTCTGTGCTTACTATGCCTGTACGCACCTCACCTTACCAGTTCGCCATCCTTCTTCAGGAGGCTTTTACGAAGTAGCTCATTTGCACTTAGTCAGGTGTCTACGTCGTTGCCTCCAAGGGCGAAAGTCTAGTTCATGGCCTGAACTTTTGAGACTCATTCAGGCTTCCATGAACAATACGATCGACGAGGCCACTGGACTTACTCCTCACCACATCGTTTTTGGATTCGATGCGGTGTTACCATTTGAGAATATGTTGATGTCGTCTCTACCTCAACAGGCTCTTACGATTGATTCGATTAAAGAATATATGTCCTACCCCAATGAAACTCGCTGTGGGGTAGTTCTTAATGCTGTGAAGAAGTTAGAGAAGAGCCGGCAGAGGATGACCAAGAATTGGCGAGACGAATGGAGGAAGCGCAGATCCGCTACAGTAGGTCCAGTCATTCGTCCTATTTACGAGATTGGTCGAAAAGTGTTGGTCTATCAACCCGTTTCCCACAAGCTTGATGCAATGTGGGTTCCTGGGGTAGTAACTCGACATTTGGGAAAGGAGTGTGTTGAGGTCAAGTTCTCTGATGGTTCGGTCCAAGTTTACCACAAGGACCATATTAAAGATGACAGTGGTTTATCTCAAACTCAAGATCCCAGATTGAGGGTTTGTACATCCCTTCCACATAATAAACGGACTAGTGGCCGTGTAGGGCGGAATATCCTTGGGGACACTGTGAAGAGAGTCCCCAGTCGGAGCTTACACAACTGGGTCATCACGTTCAGATCATCATTACTATCTGTGCGTCTGCGTGCTACTTTCGCACGCAGACCCAAGTTCTGGTATAGATCCTCTACTCATCTTATGTTGTGTTGAACACTATCACCCATGTCTAGAGACCGGTCTCCCTTCCTTTATCGGCTCCTTTCGGCATCTGACCTAATGTATGACGATAATACCATGAGGTCGTGGTGATGACACTGATTGTAACTAGTAATATGAATGATGATGACGAGGGCACATGAATGTGTTGTATAACGATAAGTCAATAACAATATTCAAAGAATAATAAAATGAATAGGTACCAATGTAACCTCATCAACAAGTGTTGATACTTCATCTGTCTCTCCCTTACTGGGCGAGCATCACCACTCACCTCCACATGGTCTTGTTTAGTTTCTCAAAGAAGATATATCCCACTCGCTCGCCTCGCTATTTTCCGATGCTTTCTGAGCCCATTGACAAGGCCTGTTGGAGACAATGTTGTGATGATTCTGATGTGGTGTAGGTATCAGCTTATCCCTCCTTCTTACTGGTAGTATATTCCACTATCATTATCACCAGGTATCATCATACGCCACACATTATCCATCTATCCTTACCGTTTCCGAGTTACTAAGTGGTGTCAATAAAATAGTGCCTTCTTCTTCTCCTTCTCTATATGCCGCCTCTTGCCAGTCAGCATGGTAAGGCTGATCGTAAGTTCCAGCATAAACTGGATGATATCAATACTAGGCTCACAGCACCATTAGTACCTGTGGGTAGAGAGGCAGTAGTAGCAGCTCAGGTAGTCATTACAGGAACACCTTGCCACGCTGGTCCTAAGGTGTATGAGGTCCTCTCAGGCATTGGCGAGGAAGCATCCATCCCATCGAGAGGCCGTTTTAGACTCGTTAATAGCAGCCGCTACTGCTGTTGAGGAGGACTCTCCCCGGAGTGTGGAGGAGGAGGGGTACGGGAGACCGGTAAGCACCCTAATCATCAACACTGTCAAGAGGGCAACTTGTGGATCTTCGTGGTGGAAAACATCATCTCGTGATCTTAGTTGACGCAACATAAACAGTGCTTCGAAACACTCTTGGTAGGTCAAGGAAGTGAGGTTACTGCAGAAGGATCGAATGCCATCATCATTTGAGAGCCCTCGTCCTCCTCCTCCTAGAGCTGTTAGGGGCACCATTATCGATACATTAGTGAGTATGATGAAGGGTGACGATAACGGTGATGGTACCCCGATATTCACTGAGTCGGAGATAACAGTAAGGATGAGGTCTGCAGCAGCATCCGAGGAGTTGGAGAAGGTTGATGAAGTCCCTTGGTGGCTAAGGGTTTATGTAAGCAGTAGGGAAGGTACCCTTGCTGCTGTTGCTACTCACCCGGTCAGTGGGAAAGTACCGAGTATGAGGATCGCTTCTGGAATTGCTCTTCACTTGTGAATGACTGTTCCAGAATTTTATTCCGACTATCATGATCAGCTTAAATATTTCGCATTAACTGTCTTCACGGTTTTCGTAGGTATATGACCTCGGCTGTGCCCGGAGTACGGACTCTGAGTCAAGAATGCTTTTTGAATCGGAAATTAACGACCTTGTAGCCCGTCATCCCTGTCGAAGCCTTTGCAGAGCTGTTGTTACTGAGCTTATCACATGTAGGAGTGATGGTGCTGGGCATCAATCTACGTTAGTGGATACTCGCTACTCCTCGCTCTACTGGGAGTGTTGGGGGGGAGGGCTACCCGATCGATACAATACCGCATCATGACGTATTGGTATTTGGCAGGTGTTGGCTTGTTGAATATTGATGTAGGCTTGAGGCCAACTGTAAAGCGATGCCTTACCATCCTACCTATCGACACATCGAAAGCTCTACTCAATTCAAGTCATTCTACTGAGGTACCTCAATGGGTCTTGGAGGATATCATCACCACTACTCTACAAGGTGATAAGGGATATCTAGGGTGATGATGATATGCCTCTCATCATGCCCTACCGCATAGTGAGTAGCATACGTTCACTTCATATGAACGATGGACTCTATGGTGGAAGCTCTCCCCTTTTAGTCCCCCTCCCCGGTGGTAATCAGACCTTCACCGATATCATCAGCGTCATCTTGAGTGCAGGAGGTGTTCCGGTTACCTCGGCATTGATGTTGGTTGCAGAAAGGCTTCTACGAACGGTCTATAGGGGTAGTCATGAAGGAGTACGAGGGCTTGTATATCTACTCGCCAACATCCAACAGCAGCTACCACCGGTAGGAATGGCTGTATCACTTAGGAGGCATAGCATGATCGGCTGCATCATTCAGGCTGTACCTGTGTACTTGTCGTTTATAGTGGAGGTGGTGATTGCCATATCCCTCTGGGAGCTAGGAGACCATATTGCCTACCACACGGCTGAGGTAGTAGAAGTACTCCCTAGAGTCGACCTATCTTCTACGGGTATACCACTCTTCATGCTAGATGTTAATCGATTGTTGTCCTGTTATCTACAAGGATGATATACCCGTGCGATACCTCCTCATAGCGGCCGTTATGGCTCTGCCGGACCCCCGACTGTCGTCTAGGTACTATCATTCCTTCTTCATGCTCAACTATCCGTGTAGTCTCGATAAGAAGCTATCACCACTTGATCGAGATGTGGCCTCAGTACAAGAGAGTACCCAAGTGAAGGTACCAGGCTCTCTACCATTAGCTGCAATGTGGTTGGAGTGGTCTAAGACGATGATGGATGGCGATGCCTCGATTACCAATGAGGACCTGCCTCCGCTGGCTATTGCTACAGTACTACGTCATCCGATACTGGATCAATCCCCTATTCTCTTATCAGCTCCTTTATCGTCTGTCCACTTATGCTTCTGAAGTGGATGAGCATGTGGTGGTATGTCTGGTATCGGGCCGAGGATTCTCTCTGCGTATGCTACCACACATAGCGTTATTGATACCTAAGCTATCATCAAAGGGAACTGAGATGCTGGCCTTCGCTATGGCGGCTCATCTAGGGTCTCATACGGAGATCTCGAAGCAAGCTGCAGTGAAGGTAAGTCTCACTGTTTGAATACTCACCGTGTACGCTCTAGCATGCAGCCCCTGGTGTATCGGACCATGACCTCATTCTTTCCCTTGCCTCAAGCAGCTGCTGCAGTGGCTAAGCATTTACTCAGAGTAGGAAGGATATGTGATGACAATCGGTATTTGATAACAGGTTATACCGGACGTCTATATTGATAAGCTACTTGATGGGCTCGTTGAGTGCCATATGGAAGACTCCTACATACAGCTCTTGGAGGCTTATACCACCGAGTAAGGGCTAGCTCCTCCTACTAAGCACAAACTAGTATGGTGTAGGTATCCAGCGAGGGTAGCTAGCATACATCTTAATCGAGTACAAGAACTATTAGCTTATGATAGATCCGACTATGCACGATCTAGAGGATTGTGGATGATACATCAACTCTGTGAGCTTATGATGCTACCTTGGTTGTGTGTGTATTGGCAAGGACAGGTTCTGAGGAGTGCATGGATACTACTAAGACTTGGCAGGTCTTTCGGAAGAAGAATAAGTATCTATTTGACTTATGTGAATGTGGCGAGATGACTGGGCAGGAGATAGGCATCATCATCATTAGTTCGTGTAGGTGATGCAGACTTTAACAGGTCCTTCAGCTAGCTGCGGACGTCCCTCAATGGATCGGCATAGAGTTCATTTGGAAGAATGTTTATGAAAATCCCACATTTAACCGCCATGCCTGGGAGGCTCTAGCGCGGGTGAGTAGTAGCGGTAGTAGTCGGTAGAGTAGTAGGGCATTTGCCGACATATTGCTGCGTAGCCGATACGGCTTTAAATTGCATCTCTCATTGAGGGATGACGTCCAGAAAGGCAGCGATGTATCTACGAGCACCGACAACTCATCTCATCTGAACAGTGGAATGGTGACCTCTGCCCTTCCTCTGTATCATCTATGTAATCGAGGGCAGACTATTCATCGACATGGTTAACTATCCCGGGCAACGAATAAGCGAACCCCACGATCCGAAGACCTCGAGGCACAACCAAACGATAACCTCCACATTTCAAGGCTTGATTCAGGATCATCACTTCGGGTTTTCTGGGATTATGATATCTGGGGATTGGATCTGAGAGCAAGGACTCGATGCTCTCAGATCCAATACTAATAATATTACCAGTCTTGCCTTCCTGAGCAATGCTTTGGTCTCGACCACTCGAACCGACAGGAGTAGAAGACACCGCTGTGGCTAGCGGGCAGAGGTGTTACTGTTCTTCCAATACGTAGACCAACGGGTCGTTGAATGGCGACAGAGTATTCTATGTCGATGGCAAGGTCTATAACACTCCCTACGTAGGGATTCTCTACGTATATCAGAGACACCTATTCTGCCGACGAGATCTTCCGGGAAGTCAATGCTGAGGTAGACGACAACTTTCGGCTTGGTGCTCACTTCACAGGTTGCCGCAGCATATGAATATACGCAAATGAGCACGAAAATAGTATTTCCAGCTTTGTTGCGCGGTCGATATCCAGGGATAGTGTCCCTAATAATACGGCTTAGCTATCTTTCTGGGAGTCTTGGATAGTGCTTGTCGGTGGCAGTCCAGTTCTGGCATGCATCTCCATGCTTCGATAGGTGCCTTGTCGTAGTACGCCAATTCATATATAAGTGGTGTTCGTGTCTACGACTCGTCTATTGTTACAGTGGGGATAGTAGCCAGTACTCACATGATATTGTCTGGATAGGCTGGGACCAGGCCGGCTCGTGCTTATGCTAGGGTCTTGTAATCCACATTTGGTGTTATTCATAGGTGTTGAGGAGTCGTGATAGACAGTTCATCATCGATGGCCCGCCTAGACAAGCAGGGCCTCTTCTGGCGACATTCAGCCCACCTACTATCGTCCTCCGGGCAGCTGACGTGATACAGGATTATTTTACTGCAGCGGAAAAGGCCACTCAGGACGATATGGTAGGAGTATCAATGCACCGGTAGGGCGGCATTTGGTGGATCTCAGGCGGCCATGGGATCGTGTCTAGCGGCACTCGGCGATATCGAAATTGCTGATATTGGCCGTAGTGTTTTCGTTGCGTCCTCCTCCTCCTCCTCAGCAGCTGAGCAGGCTGAATCATCTAACGCTACCTCACCTCTTGGACGGAGACTCAGTGATCATTCGGCAACGCTTTCTTGATGTTAGCGACGGCGTCTTCACTCAGATGGATTCATGAAGACAGCATCGAGACGATCACCATTAGCCCAGCTAGCAGTAGCAAAGGGGCCAGCAGGAAGCGCTACACTACCTGCATTGAGACGATTGCTGGGGTCAGTGAGAGGACTACCATCTGGCGTCTTTGGAGGGAAGTAGATGATGCATAAAGAGGAGGAGGAAGAGGGTTGTGTTTGCAATGGGACAGTATAGGTACATGTTGGCGACTAGCTGGAAGAAGTTTATGAACAGGCTTGTAAAGAGTGGCAATATTAAGCCCATGGAGATCTTTGATACCCTCATAGAGGCTTTGGATACGAACCCGGTACTCACTTCTCAGTGGTCATGTATGATGATAATGATGACAGTGATGACGATCAGGTGAATGCTCTCTTGGGTTTATCAGCGTTGGGTAGATGTCGAGCTATGCAGTTCTCTATGAAGGCCAAGGATGCTATAGAGGGAGTGTAGTGACGACCGCCGCCTCGACCACGACTATATCGATAAGTCATCTATTCAGCCTCCACGCCGCGGACGAGTCGGATATCCTCGAATCTGTTCGGTCGACTGCTGTTATAGCATTGGCCTTGTTACTTGGTTCGCTACCCTATAATGAAGCTATCACTGCTGCCGAGGTAGGGTAGTCCAAAAGGGATTATGAATGAAAGCCATTTCCCTTTCAGAGTCTATTCGCTCCTTTGGAGCATTCAAGCTCGGCCATTGATACTACCACAAGGCTCTGGATGATGCCTTACTTGTGTTTATTCCATCCTGCTAGGGTTGATCACGTCATTGAGTGAGTGAACTACCTTTGCTCTTTGTGAACTCATATGCTCCCTCAGTTGTTTGCTTATGGGCTGCAAGGATCCTGGTACTGCCACTGCATGTGGGTATGGTCTTGCCTTATTTGTTATACTCCATTTTGGCCGTCCGGAGGTTTTACAAAGCCTCATCAGTCGTCTGAAGGATACTCAACCATCGCCAGTTGATACCTGTGCACGCGTGCTATGTGGACTAGATGTCAACGACAATTGGCATTTCATTGGTGAATTGGGGATGATTGCTGCCGGTCTTGCTGGACTGCCCCCAGACCGAATCACGGGTAAGATAGCTGCTCATCTGTCGTCTCGATGCACTTCACGAGGCTTTCAGGGCCATATGATAGGGCCGACCCAGAGCTGAGGGTCCTGTATGTTGGTGCACTCTTTGGATGCCCGGGGACTCTGCCTATCATACCACCAGAAAGCTTCACTGCGCCACGAAACTGCTTCAGTGATAATGCTCTTACTGTGGTCGACAAGTTGGAGAAGTATGACAATGAATGCACCATCGGAGTGGCAATTCAACTAATGCAATCAGCCGAATCGATTACCTTCACGAGTGCAAAGCATAAGCAACGAGAGATCAATGCCTTGTCCTACATCAAGGAGGGGAGTGCTCTTCAGTACATCCTGCACAGTTCACAAGCAGACAAATCGTCACCGCGCCACGAGATTAGCTTAATAGCGGCGACTAGACTAACTAAGGCCCTTCCGCGCAAGTGTATGCGTATCCTCCTAGGAGGTTCTCAAGGATTAGATGCCACTTCTGGTTTGAAGATACGTTTGTTGTCGTACTGTGGTGAAGTCGGCTTATCGGAAATGTTTGACCTCTACACTCGATCGGCCTCAGTACCAGAGGATACTCTAGTGTCTCTGATTCGAATAGTTGGTAGTTTATCCATGGAGTCCATGGACGCACCAATGATATCTGCACTAGTAGCCTTGGCTCAGGCTGCGTCCAAGAGCGAGAACACTGCCGCACAGTTCCTCGATAGTTTGATGACTATGTTGTCCGCTTGGAGGGGATCTTCCGATGACTCTAAGGATGTCGACACATGCTGTGGGGACGTAGTGGAACCTTTGATAACCGGAGCCCCGCAACTTTTCGCTCGCCCGAGGCTCTGGATGGCTTGTCTAGATCTGCTGAATGAGAATGTATCCGACCTGTCCCTTGAGGAAGTGAGGAGTCTCGACCCACTGTTGACGACTCGAATAGGAAGGTTCCAACCAGCCATTCGAAAGGAGCTGTTGCTTTTAGAAAAAGCCGATAAGCTTTGTTGTGAAGGACGGGATCTGTTGACCATTGGTGATAACTTCGTTACCATTGGTGGCGGCATACAAGGTAGCCGTAGGATGATCCTTGGTCTGGCTGAACGATTCAAGAGTGAAGCTGAAGATAGTGTAGTTCGTAAGGTATGCAGGCATCTTGTGGCAGCTATGGGACTGTCGATTGCCGCTCCGAGGGAACTACGCCTCGCTGCTACGTCCTATGCTGTTACCGAGCAAATTGATACTATTCTACCAGCTCGTCTAGCAGAAGGGTGGCAGCATACGATATCTACGAATGTGATGTGTAATATCGATCACATGATCGATTATCTTGGCAAGTGTTTGATTTGTGGAGATATATTTCCTGCGAGTGAGGACCCCAATATTCACCAGCTCGTCGAGGATATGTTCTCTGCTCATTGCTGTGTTCCTTATTAACCTTACTTGAGTTGGTCAATCCCCCGGTCATAATTACCAGTATCTGCACTCCTCATGATCGCTCTTGGCTGTATGTGTCGTCCTATTCCCTCATTAAGTATGAAAGGCCGCCTCTATTGACGTGATGATTGTCAAATAGCTGTCATCAGATTATAATACGAGTTCCTTGAAGAGGCCTCGGACGTATTCACCACAGTCCCTGCACACTAGGGTCGATGATGGATCAGCTGAATACATAGAGCTCGTCACTGTTGCCAACGCGATGGCTGGTGAACTAGCTCGGTGAGCATTAACAACCGATGTCGTCGATATTCCATCCAAAGACGTGCTTCTAAAGATTACCATCGTCGTCGTCGGGGAGGAGGATTTCCTATCTTGAAGAGCCTCGTCGATGTGTGACGGCGGTTATGAGGGCGACTCTCATCGATTGGATCATTGAAGTTCAAGAGAGCATCGACCCCTCTCAGCGTCGTCAAGAGTCTCTCTTCCTTGCTGTGAGCCCGCCGCGTTGTAACGGTAGTGTGGGGCATCTGCATTAGGTGAATATTATGGATCGATATTTTGCTACAATGCCTTGCACTAGTAGTCGGAATCTTCAACTAGTCGCCTGTGCAGCGCTGCTGATCGCTTTAAAGTGAGAACAACCAATGAGCTAATATAGACGTACGAAACAGATTCGAGGATGTCGACAATCATCCCGACCTGAAGACTATGAACTCGACGTGTGGTGAAGGCACATACTCTACGGCGGACCTCGCCCATATGGAAGTTCATATTCTCAACACCATCGGGTGTCGACATATCTAAGGAAGGATTATCATTGGGGTTTTGATTCCAGATTCGATCTTAAACGCCCGACTGTTGTATTCTTCCTGTCCTCCATGTTGAGGCATTTCATAGGAGACGTTGAATGGTGTCTTGGGATGTGAGCAGCGCTCTATTGTCTCCTATATTCCCTCGTCTAGGTATCTACTCCACTTGGTCGTATTGGATCCCCACTTCGTGGGTCGACCTCATAGCCTTCTGGCAGCCGTTGTTATCCATGCTCTTTCGATACTCTTCCCATCAGCCATCCTTACCAAGTCATTCGCCCTACTTTGATGTAACCTCATTTTCAGTCGATCAGGTCCTGTATGGGCTTCGAACCCACAATCGTTGAGGAGCTGTGTGAGTATCTAATATCTCTTTATAAGGGGATTGACTGTGGTAGAAAAGGAGAACCCTTTCATGCCGCTATGGTATCGAAGTTCTCGAAGGCAGCATTCATGCGAGTGGCTTGTGGTGTCCCGTCAACTTTATGAGGTCATTCCTGGCCATTGTTAATGATGAATTATTTCGTCAAGATGCCCAAGACATTGGGGTCATTTTGCATGCTAGTTACTTTATTATCCTCCCCGTCAGTCCTGTGCTGCGTACGCTTCGCTTTTGTTGAGGCACGTTTCGTATTTGGTCTGTGAAAGTTTACTCTGCGTAGTTTGCCTAACCGAGCCGCTTGTCATCTCCATCATCAAAATTAATGGCAGTCATATTATATTACATGTTAGACCACATGCCGATTCATGGTAATGATCTCCATGGTTCTACGAGTTGAATTGTTTAGTTAAAGATGAATGTTCGATTGAATTCATGTTGTCACAGTAGAGAAAATTACAAAGAGGAAACTGCAACCCTCCGCGAACAAACGGCCAGCTAGGGAGTCCCGTGAATTCAACTTGGACAGTTTTCCAACTGAATGGGGAGACAATAGTTATACATCTCATGGGCCCGATGAATTCTCTGGGCAATTGTTCTGAACGAGCGAATATTCATGAATTATAAGACAATTCTCGAGGGAGGCGTTTTATCACGTCTATCACTCATAACACAACATAACTCTAGCTTGGTAGTAGTGGATCGAGAAGGGCCAAATATGAGCTTTACGCTACAAGTTAGCAGTGATGGTGTGTGTCAACTGAGAGGGTGTGTACTACATGTGATTACATGGAAGTATCCGTCGGGCAATTAAAATCATCATAGTTGCCCAAGTGAAACGTAGGATATTGAGATGCGGACGATGAACTTTGAAACATCTACAGAAAAGAACGATACCGGTATAAAAACTATTATAGCGATTGATTGGCGCAGAAGCTCAAATGCGGCACCAGATCGATATCTAAAGAATCAAGAGAACGCCTTGCGAACGGTGGGGCAAACATAGTTAGTACGAGTACACTTACAATTGGTCTGTAGCAAAGAAGACTACAATAATAGTGCAGTTACCCGGCATACCACCAACAAGAGCTCAGGTTACTCTGAACACAGTCTCAAGCTAACGAGGAATTATTTAGGGTGGTATAAGAACTGAGCCCACCCCCTCGAGTTTCCTTATCTATGAAAGTTGCAATGGCTTCGCACTCGGATTGTGCTCTAAGTGATATCTTAACATCATGTATCAATTTAGGATGGGCTCTGTTAACACCACATTGTAGCCCGGTATCCATACACAGTGATAGCTCAAAGAGCCCTCCTTATGTTCCCGTAAGTACAATACTATATTAGACATAGTCAAGGTCGTACTACCAAACCCAGATCCCTTTCAAACAACACCAGCTTTACATATTGGCACATAGAAACGCTGCTGAGGGGTCACGGAATGACAGGCTAACGTGGGAAGCATATAGGAGACGAAGAATGGACAATGTCTAGCAAATGGATATGAGCGAATGGAGCAGCAGACTCCAGTCACATCCAGCCATCAAACTACAGTAGAGTCATTCAGCCAAGCCAAGCGGACGGCAACAGAAGCGAACATAGGTCATCAAAGGGTAGAGCGGCACTAAGGGGCGTAAGACGACAACAACAACAACGAGAGGTAGCCTGCTGCATTGCAAGGGGTATGAGTATAATGGCGCTATTACAAAGTGGGGATGATCATCACATATGCCTAGTGTAAGTGAAGGTTGATGACGACGAGATGATGCTTGACAAGCATATGTTGAGTCTTTGAAGGATACAACGATCCTTTGGGAATATATGATTATGATGTGGCTTCAGTTGGGAGTGTATTAGATAAGTGTGGCAAGGATACCAACTTCTCAGTATAGATGCATCCACCATTGACGACTAGACCTGAATGATTGAGTGGTAGTAATAGTAGGTCGAGTGTGTTATCTTACTTGATGCGATACCAAGAACACCTAGACCACAGATAACATAATAGGGATCAGCAACATTAACATCATATAGTTGACCTCCTACTAGAGGTCCCAATACACCACCTAACAACAAGTAGGGGTAGTAGTGTCATTGACTTCCGATCCCGACACCTACCAACATTAGTCATACCCATACTTATCGAGTTAACCAGACCTCTACTCCTCGGTGGTGATATCAGTGCACTGCAATATGCCATGCCAGCAAAGAAGAATGTGACTACAAGAGAAGGAACAACAACAGCTGCTGCTACTGCTGGTGATGATGATGTTTAGTATAGTAGTAGTAGTCTTACTTCCAACATATACACACATCCCAATTATGATAGTACCCCATAGTGAGTATATAAATGGTACTATAATGGCTAAGACTACCAAACAGAAACCAAAGGCTGCTACCCAACCTGGTTTAATCATATCTACCAACAACAAAAAGAAGAAGAAGAGTATATGCATATAAGAAGCTTATGATAATGATGATTTATATTACCCGATACATAGATATATAAGATAGTGCATATAATAACAACAACAGCTTGGATACCCATTGCTTCACCATTCTCTTGTTCAGATAGATTATATCTATCTGCACCAAGTACACCAAATACTGTTGCCCACGAGTTACCAACATACCTATACATACAGTTCTATTGTAGTACTAGTATCATCGAGAACGACTTTGTTATTACTGTCCAGCGAATGCTGCTAAGCAGAGGCATACGAGTGTTGGTATGAACCATTTGTTTTTCTTTGACCATGGCCCCAGGCCCATATCCTTAGCTTGATCCATGGGGGACATCATCTTAGCTGGAGTAGTAGTAGTAGAAGCAAGATGATGATTGTGATGCTCACTACCACTATCGATAGTTATCACACTACCATCTACACTTTGGATATGTGTGCAGGGAGTAAGGGTATTACTCTTATTACCATCATCATCTCTACCTTCTTCTTCTTCTCCTTGATGATGTTTCCAACACTCGTAATATTCTAGTTTAAGCCATTGAGGTTTATCCTCCCAAGGCTTGGTTTCCCGCAAAAAGAAGAGCTGTAATAGGAAGAGTATAGCCGCAATATCACCCATAAAGTAGAAAGGAAATGACATACCAACAGATGCCAACCAACCGCCTGAAGGAATACATCCTCACATCCTACTACTACAATCTAACTTACCTATTGTAGGGCCTAACGCTCCTCCAACAGTATTGCAAATTGATATACAAGAACCATAAAAGCGCATGTCCTCTACACGACTACTATCCGTAATGAAAGCATACAACACGGGACGTGTACCTACTCAAGTGTGGTTGATGGTAATCTAGAGAGATAATCAGCATTATTATTACCGGCAGAAACTCCACCAATAGCACGGAAACCAGCAAAACTAGCTATACTCCATGCATTAGCCACAAGGAAGTAGGATATAGTATAGAGAAACATAGCCAATATGAACACTGGACGCCTACCGTACCTGGCTGAGATAAATGCAATATGATGCAATAGGCCCTATAGAATAGGACATATGCATACCTATCAGATAGTGGTCCTGTAATGAGAGAGGCTATTAGAGTACCAATAGAGAATGATGCCATGAATATGGATGCAGCACTACCCTCATCCATATCAGGATCAAGATCTTTAACTAACCTAAAAAGGATTGGATAGGAGGATAAGGAGGAGGAGGAGGAGGAATTATGGTATTACCATGGTGTTAGTGGAGCTACCAGGGCTGTACCACACCATTCTACAAAGAGACTAACCAAGAGGAGTGTTAAGTCTAATACTCTACGTGGATCATATCTTAATTGGTATATTAGTCGGCTAAACCTATTCATCTTGATATAGTCATCAAGACTCTTAGGGCCTTTATGAACATATCCCATAGAAATGGATAAGGAAGAAAAGAGGAGGAGTTAAAGGAACAAAGTAACTAGAGGAACAAGATGAGAAGAATAGGCTTTACTATTCATCATACAACACTATACAATATGATCATATTAGTAGTAGTAATCCAACAGCAATCATGCTTGGCATGGGACTAGCAGCCACTTGATGGCTCGTAATAATGGGTGATAACTACCTACTAGTGATATGAGCAACTTTCGAGGACTGATGCTGTCATGATAATAACAGCACCAGCAATGTTGCTCGCTGAACTCGGATCTTGTTGAATGAATATCTGAACAATGATCTATAACCAGGGATCGAACCAGGGATCGAACAAGGGATGAAATGAGTACTACCAACCTGGAATGTAAAACCAAAGACGACATCCAACTGGCGTACTATTGAACTGGTTACTGCTGATGATGTCGATTGGAGGCCTAAGACAAGGATGGTAGTACCACTACGACTATGTTCAGAGTGTTCACAAGCAGTATCGTCTACGCTAGTCATAATCTGTAAATATTACCTATGTTGAAGGAAATCTGCCCTATAAACGATATCAACCCTACTACAAGCAGTATTAATACTGACGACAACGACGACCTCGTGTGAGTAGTCCTTAGATAATGAGTAGAAGACCATAAGTGGACAAAACCAAATAGGTAAATACTCAATGATAACACTACCCCACATATACCATACCATAATGTGAGTTGTGACCAATGGACCTAACAACAACATAATACCACTCTAAGGGCTACCCCGATGATACCTACCTTAACACCAGCCTTAGTAACTGTAATATAAACCCAAGATGCCATAAGACTACCACATAATGCAGCTGTTATACCACATAGTCTGGGAGATGGGTACGATATGATGGTAGTAGTACTAGATAACTGATGCTGCTGCTGCTCATGAGGATGAGCTAATAGTACGACCTGACCAGTACGACGATGACCACCATTATACTTCTATACTAAGCATGATGAACCTACCCCTATAGTGACGGCAATAACTGTAACTACTTGACTCATCCTTATTGGCTGTTTTAATATTACCCAAGATAGGATTAATGAGAAAGCCGAATGAGTAGCATGTATACTCAATGACTCTCCAATGGGTATAAGGGATACTGATATATATCTGATAATGACGAGTACTCAAGCAATGAGAAGATATTGTACCGCATCAATGTAGATAGAGCTCCACCAAGGCCTCGGGATATGACCAGAAAACGTAATTCAGTGGTCTCAAACTCGC